TTGTAGTTGAAGTCTTTTATTTACTTGTGTTAAGTCTTTACATTCATGTTGTGACAACCATGATGGAGGCTTAGACTCTCCTTGTAGTTGTACTTGCTTTTATTTACAAGTATCAAGGGAGATAGCTCATATTTTGGTTGTGGTGGAAACCTTCAAAAGTAACTAGCTTTCTTCTACTTTATTTCACTTCCATTGCTTGAGCTTCTTCCTTCCTTAGAGGAGTGAAACTCTTCCACTTTTCTAGAGCTTTACCAAAGCCGTGAAGGGTAGAACGTGATTCACTTATTCTTTGGTGAAGATCGACTCCTCGTTTATTGTATTTTACTTTATAAGTTCTCTACTTTGAGGGATGATCATCACTCACTTTTCTATCTTTATCCAAGTCATGAAGAGTGAGTAGTTCCTCATTCACTCTTTAGTAAGAGGTGATGAATATGCAAAGATTATCCAGAAGTTATGTTGGTGCAACTCCTTTATGCTTTAATACTTTATATTCCACTTGCTTATTAGATGATTGAATGCATCTAGCAAAGCTAGGGTACTTTGTATAACCATGGGCTCCTTCTATGATACGGATGACTCTTGCATAAAAAGGCCCGTTGGTTCAAGACAAGCACCCCCTACTATNTCAATTAGATAAATGAAATAGGGTTGAACCTAAATTTTATAAGCCCAAATGATACAGCTCTAAATTTAATTAAATAGGCTTGAGTTGGACGTAAATTCTACAACTCAAATAATGCAAGCCCAAATATAATTAGCTATTTTGCTAAATTAAAATGGACTTAAATTCCATAGGGTCAAATTAAATAAATTTTTAAAGGGTAAAGTGGGTTGGACTTAAATTCCATAAATTAACTAAAGCCTACAATTGATGGGTAGCCCACTACCTAAAGCCCATATAAGAGTAATAAGGTAAAAATACTCTTATATGGATAATTACTCANACCATTATTGCGCTTTATTCAAAGAATGGAACATTAATGTCATGGTTGGAAGCCTTGTAGAAACACTTGCTTGTTTGTAGACGGGTTAAGTCTCGGCACAGACAATTCTTGTAACTTTTAGAAAGANAAAAGAAAAGAAAAAGAAAGGGAGAAGAAGCCAAAGAGGAAGGAAGATCGGCGAAGCTCTGCTCGAAGTTCACTAAAGCCTTACAAGTTCATCTCCGGGAAGAAGAACACACTACTAAGGTCCTTCCTCAAGAAACCCAAATCATCTTGAAGCTATTCAAAATAAAGAACGGTGAGGAGATTCATAAAAAACATCATTNACATGGAAGTTAATTGAGTTATAAAGCACAAACATAATAAACCGGATAATCAATTACATATTCTGATCCTCGAACTAAAGAGTGATTGTTATCTCTGTGAATCATCTTATATTTTGTGTAGAAAACTCTTGAAAAGAATCTTATATTCTATTCAAGAAATCCCTCAACTTCAAACTCTCAAAATTTCCAATTACTTGGTCTCTATTATTATTTACTTCAAAACGCCAATCATAATTCCTTGTGGATTCGACTCCGGACTTAACCGGATTATTACTACAACTTGACCACCTACACTTGAGTGTACACATTTTGGATCAAGTCAATCGTCCTACCAGTAGGTTTTCACTTCCTATCGGTAGAAGCTTGACATAACCCTATTCGAGTTTTATCTTCTTCCTTCTCTTTCAACCCCACAATTTGTAAACAACTACCATTAGTCATAACCATGTTTCCCTATGAAAATTTATACTCATAGCATATCCAAATCAAAATCAAAACTAAAACCTAAACCATCTTCACAATTAAAATTCATAACCCACACCCAATTCTTTTCTTACACCTTCAGAACTCCACTCCATATTACCCAACGATTACCCATTCCATACTCACGTTGTTCATTATTTTTTTTATCTGTCGAATCCACTTGCCAGAGTCTCCATTGGATTAAGGCTTCAGAAAGTTTGGAGAGATTAAAAAATCTTTTCATTTTAAGCAAGTGTGGAACCTTATCTCTAGTACATCTCTTTGGGCAAAAATATTTTTCAGCAAAATTCTTGAAACATGGGCACGTACTGAGGAGTAAAGGGCAGTTACATTCCCATAGTTATAAGTCATTGGCTCCTTGGTTTGAAATTGTGGTAGCTAAAATTCAAATGATTATAGGTACCAGAACACAATCTGACTTTTGGTGTGACAAGTGGACTGGATTTGGACCACTTATTTCAAGGTTGTAAAACCAACCAACTTTTTTTTCCAAAACTATCTGAACTTCTTACTGATTCTAAATTATTTTTGGATAGTGTAGCTTCATGGTTGGATGATCAACTGGTAGAGGAAATGTAAGGTGGAGCTTTCAGAAAGGGAAGATCGGTTGGTTTGGAATCATACAGATTTTGGTAATTTTTTTTGTCAAATCTACAAGGAATTTTGTGAGAGAGAAAGGCCAACTGACTGAGGCTGCAACTATAATTTAGAAACTAGTCTCCCCCCCTAGTGCTCAACTAGTGGGATAAAAGATCATCAAGAATGCTCTAACTTATGGATTACAATATCCAAAAAATGGGTGTGGCTTTGGCTAGTTGATGTTGTTTTTGTTATAAAGAAGTTGAAAGTGCTACTCATCTGCTAATTGATTGTGATTATGCAAGGGTAGTATAGGAGGAGTTTTCTACAATGATGGACTTTCAGTTGCTGTCTAGTGAAGAACCTGTGACAAGAATGCTTAGAATTGTAAAAATTTTCAGAAAAAGAACATTTAGTAATGCTCTTATAAGGAGTGTGTCTCTGATTATATATTGGCAATTATGGAAATAAAGGTGTAGAATGTTGTACGAAGGTTCAAGGGTACACACCTCATCTATTATTGCTAAAGTGAAGATTGTTCTGAGGTTGCAAGGTTACATGGTAAAGTCTAGAGAACCTGAAACTTTACAAGGCTTAGAGTTGTTGAATTTTTTGAATGTCCAAATTTCTTCATATGTGTAGTCTTCTGCTATCTGGGTGAAGTGGAATATGCCAATAGAAGGTATATTGAAGCTAAATATTGATGGGGCACCCAAAGGTAACCTAGGAGAAGTAGGTGGTGGGGCTATACTCCATAATCATTGGAAACAAATGATCTTTGTAGGTTCTTTCTACTATGAAGTTTCTTCCAATATGGGGTCAGAGTTTAGAGCTCTTTGGATGGTTTAATGCTTTATGCTCATTATGGACTAGTGGATTATAAATTGGTGATGGAATTAGATTCAAAGATTTTGGTGGAGATGATTACTGGTAGATGTAAATCCCCATGGAAATAGTGGTGTATGGTGAATAAGATTTCTAAATTATTAAGGAGATTGGATTGTGTTATTGTTCATTCTTATAGAGAGGGGAATAAGGTTGCATACTGTTTGGCGAATAAAGGGGTGCGAGACAAAGTTTTCTTTGAAACTTCTTCAACTGATTTAATTCCATTTCAAGCTAGGCAACTTATTCTTCAAGACCATCGACAAATAAGGCCACTGAGGAGGAAAGATTCCTTTGTTTGTCTGACTCATTAACTGAGGAGATTTAATTTTAGCTTTTTTAGTTTTCCTAATTTGCAAGCAGCATTCTAAATTTATGTTGTATTTGGATTCATTAAGGGGTAAGGTGGAAAAGTCACCCCCTTCTTTTTGTAATTCTCTTTCTTAATAATAAATATATACTCATGACGACAGGGTTTAATAATAATAAAAAAAGATCTCCATTGGAATTGAGCTCCCTAGGAAAGTAGTTGGGCATTACAACAGAAACTCCCTTAATACAATCATTATGCTATTCTTATTCCTATTTGTGTTGCCCTTGAGCTAATGGTTGGATGACCACTACTGTGGTTGTTGTTCCCTATTTTGGTGTTGCACCAAGGTAGTCAGTTCCCTCAAATATTGATAAATGCCACACATGACATCTTGAGGTGGTGGTGGTGCTAGTTGGTCCCCGACATGTTGGGTAGGTTGTCCACGTATTCTTTTTTCTTTCATCCTACACAAATAAACATAACTCAGTCCCTTTGAATCAAAAAAGAATACGCACCCACCTTTATACCTACAATTACCATGATTTCCTAACCACCTTATATGATGCCTACCATTCTATCCATTCTCCACTTACTACCACTAACACTGACTAGCCCATTCCCTATAGCTTTCATATAAGACCTAATCCATAGGCTCTGCTACCAACATATTACGCTCTAAATTTCACAAGAAGTGTGATTTAAAAGAAAAACTATTCAATTCAAAATCTTCTCCATATCGTAAATAAATTTTAGAGAAATAACCTATTTCCATGAGAAAATTTCTTTACAAAAAAAATGACACAAATAATTTTAAATTTAAAAATATTGGGCTTATAACCAAATCGAACGAGCAACCGATGAAAGCATTCTAACTAAAAAGCATTCACTAAACCAAAAACAACATCCATCATCATCTAAATTAGAATTCAAAACATGAATCCATAATGAGAACTTATGTCCAAAATCACCAAAAAAAATGATAATGTCGGGAAACTAGCTCAACTCTAAAAATTCATAATCTTATTTAACATCCAGAAATACTAAGATAAAAACTAAATCCAAAAACATCAAGTCTCAAATTTTGGATTGACATTCTTAAAGAAAAAGTTGTTTTAGAGCAAAAAAAAAAATTTTGGGATAAATTTTAGGAAAAATCTCATTTTGTCCCATAAAGATACACAAATTTTCAGTTTATTCTTTAAATGATTAATTTTTTCACATTGTTCCTCAAATAAAAATAAATATTGTAATACAGTCCATCGTCTAATTTTTGTTTGGTATTTTATCTGTTTTGGGTTAAATCAACTTTTGGTGTACTTTTTTAAGAAAAAGAGAGTAAAAGTTTATGGGTAGTTTTCTCTGGTAAATAAACGCAGGAAAATCCGAAAAAGAAAGAAAAAAACACAACTTTGTCCTTATTTTCCTTGTTCTTTACCCCCTTTGTATTTTATTTTCCATACCCCATAGCAAACACAGGGTAAATCTCTCAACTTATGGTCTTTTGCGTTTCTCTTCCCTTTGGTTTCTTCGTTCGTTCCTTCTTGTCCTTCCTTTCTCTTCCCCATTCTTCTCCGCTTTCTGCCCTGAATCTGTTTCTGCTTCTTCTTCTCTCGAATATCTGCCTGCAGGGGGCTTTGTACGGCATTATCATCATCGTAGGGATGCAAATTTCTTGTAGTACTGCGAAACACCATAGATATCAGCTATGTTACGGCGCCTCCGATGGATCATAGCTGGCTTCAACTTCCATAATTACAAAACCATCAATCCGTCTAAGCCTGATGCGAAACCTTTACCTTCACCACAACTTCAAACCACTCTCAATCCTAAGCCCATTAAACCTAGTAGTAATCAAAATCATCCCCCAATGTTGGAGATTGTACATGAGATTGCTATTTATATTCATAGATTTCACAATCTTGACCTCTTTCAACAAGGGTATATTTCATACTCTTACCTTTTATTGCCATAATTGTTTTATCTACAAATATAGTACCGGGATAATCCCTAGAGGATGATCCAGGGAGGCTTGAACCCTGGATACCTCCAATCCTTAGTCCCGGGTAACTTCCCGGATGAAACTCGGGGATGGCCCCATGGGAGATTTGAGCTGAGGACCTCAAGCTGTGTAGAGTGGCTTTTGGTCATTTTGTATACCTTTTTACTATAATTGGTTATCTTAATTGATTAGCCAATCCTTGTGATTTGATTCTTGTGTGTGTTTGTTAGTGTATTTATGTGAGTGTGTGTTTGTAGGTGGTATCAAATTAAGATTACGATGAAATGGGAGGATGGTGACTATAGTTCGTTGGGAACTCCGTCGAGAGTTGTTCAATATGAAGGTACTTCTTTATTTCTGTTGAAGTTGGGTATATTTTGCTCTATCAAATATTGCTATTTGCATGTAGAACCACATTTAAAATTGAACTAGTAAGTAGCTAAGGGGCGGATTTTTTAATGATTTTTTTTAGATTAAGAGTAATGTGAACTTATGATGGAGATAAAGCTTGGATTAATTGCTTGGATTGAAGAGAATCTAACACAAGCAAATCTATTATTTCATTTAAGGCTTATGTGCTTGAACTGCATAATTTTGTCAGTTATTGTATTCACCGGGTGTTGCTGAGAGTTGCTAGCAAAAGGAATTAAATTTTTGATTGGTGTATGCTATGGAAATCCAAACATGTTTTTTGGTATGAGTGGAACTAAATGATTATGACTCTGAAATTTACTGTGGAATCCAAAAAATTAATGGCGTCTATGCATTGCAATATGATTGGAACTTCGCATTATTGGTCACTCTTAAATTTGCAATGATTAAAAGATGGGAGTCAATAGTATCCTTAATATTAAAAGGTGATGGAACACTCTGACAAATATTTGAGGTTTGGACTATACACCAAAGATTATAACTTCGTATATTGTTTCAAAAACCAAATAATGTGAAAGATAGAGGATAAGAAAGGAGTTATTTAGTTGTTGTGAACATGCTTTTTATCTCTGTAGTATATGTAAACCAAATCATATACTTAAGTGTCTTAGGTCTGTTCCTTTTATCCACACGTCTCATTGCTTAGAAAAGTATCATGTCTTGGTAGAATCAATTATGTGACCTTTGTTTTTTGATAGGAAACAAACAGTTTTGTTAATCATAAAAAGATGTAGCACAAGAAAAAGGGCAAAGGTGGACAAGCCGTCCAAACTAGATGCCACCAAACATAATAGTCCTACAAAGACAAAAAGAAAATGATTCTTCTAATAACCACAAAAAGCAGGCCATCTATCCAAAATACTAAAAAGGGGTATGTTGTCAAACTCCTCAGTGATAGATGCCTAAAAAGACGGCAGGAAATGGATGCAAATCTATAAACCCTCCACCAGCTCAAATTTATCTTAAAAATTTCTTACGATTCTTTTCAACCAAATCACTTAAATAGTAGAAAAATTGTACATTCCCAAAGAGTGACTTCTTTATTCTTCTTTTCAAAGCCTTGAAAATCCACACAAAACATGGATGAAAGGGATCTTGGAGTCGTNTCTTTTCAACCAAATCACTTAAATAGTAGAAAAATTGTACATTCCCAAAGAGTGACTCCTTTATTCTTCTTTTCAAAGCCTTGAAAATCCACACAAAACATGGATGAAAGGGATCTTGGAGTCGCCCACCACCTCACAACACTTGTTCCGTAATGACAAAGCAATTGAACAACGCAAAAATAAGTGATCCACACTTTCAAAATCCTTCCTACACATAGCGAACCATTGTGGTAGGTCTCTTTTTTTGAAGCAAAATCATGTTAATCTTACCATGAACAATAACTGTGCTTTCAAAGATACCTTAGCCTTAATGATGGATAAAAAATTGGGAGAGAAGAATCACAAATGAAAGATTTGCAAGAAAATGACCCCGTAGAGTTAACAACCCGACTTCTTCTATCCCCTAAGGCATGATGTAGAATCCAGTTATTAAGCAAAGAAAGGAGAGAGATCAATTCTGAAATTTTCCTATCATTAAGGTTCCTACGAAAACCAAAATCCCAAGACACAAGAGTAAGATCTATTCATATGCAAACATGATGATAACAAGAAAGATTATAGAGTCGAGGGAATGAACAAGGTAAGTATAACTCCGTGATCCAAAAACCGTCCCAAAATTAAATTCTCTATCCATTATCCACGACAAATTTAACCATTTGAGAAAAAAAGTTAATCCCCAAGAAATGAATTTTTTAAGGGAAACTATCCCTTTCAACTTCATTAGCATATCAATCATTGGCTTGCAAAGTGCAAACCATATTTGCTTATGAATTTTGCTTAAACAGATGCCTCCAAAGCCATTTCCAAACCAAAGCTCTATTTCTAGCCTTCAAATTATCCACCGAAAGACCACCTTTAATTCTAGGCCAATATGCAACCTCCCATCGAATCAAATGATCTTTCCTACTTCACCACTACCCTCTCATAAAAAAATTATTCATCTTCCCCTCAATCCTCCTTGCCACCAAAGAAGACATCTTAATTAGAGATTAGAAATAAATGGGAACACTAGGTCTAACCTCTTCCCAATTTTCTCACCGGATCCCAAAGTCTCAATGATAAAGGGTTTCTACTTAACGGAAGCCCCAAATACTTGAGAGGCCGCCCTCCCGCATGACATCCCAAAACTTCAACCAACCTATTAATCTTCTCTTCCTTGGAATTAATTCCAGCAATCAAACTCTTGTCCACATTAACCTTAAGCCCTAACATCACTCCAAGCACATCAATAATATTTTTAGGATTCAGGAATTTCTCAACATCCAACACGGAGAAGAATATGGTATCATCAACAAACTGCAAATTTGACATTGATTTACTCGGCCTATCAATAACTCTCTTCACAATATTACACCACTCTGCCCTTGTCGTTAAACCTGTTCAATCCATTCACAACTAGTGTAAACAAGAAATGTGAAAATGTGTCACCTCGTCTAACTCTTTGTTCAAAGACATTCTTAGCCTGGGATTGTGGGGCCTATATACACACTAGCTAACCACCACTCAAGACCATCCCCCTATGTTGACTCTAACTGACAAAATAAACTCACCCTCATTTGTTTTCTCTACCAAAATAGATCTTTTATCCCATATAATAACTATGCCCCTGACCTACCCACCAATGTTAAACGCACCCAATTTCTATACCTAGACCCCCAAACACTCTTAATAATTTTCCTATCAACAACTCCATCTTAGACTTCTGCAAAATGACAATATCCAACCCAACTCTTAAAATAATCTCCTTTATTGAGCAATTTTTTTTTCACAAGGCCCTAAACCCCGAACATTCCAACTAACAACCTTCATATCTAACAAAAACACCCTCACCTACTTTTCTAGAACTCACTACCTTATATTTTATCTCTAATGGCAAATTTTTTTAGTTCATGAATTCCCTCATGCTTCCTTGCTCTCCTCCCAATCCCTTTATTCTTGCACTTCTTTTTTTGATAGGGACTAGGGAGAGATCCATTTTTAAAATTTTTTTTAAACCTCCCATTTCTCTTCATTAGACACAAATCATCTACTCTCTACATCGGTTTGCTTAGCACTCTCGCCTCCCTTCCTAGACGTCTCCCTAATCTCATTTCCCTTATGGCAAATAGCCGCACATCTTAATTGGGGCAAAATTAACGGTGACATCCTTATTATTAGTGCACAAATCTGTCTTATAGAAACTCAAATATTGGGTCCGTAATAGGTGTGAAACTGATTTTTTCTCAATTCCCATGGCCTTCCACCCATTAGTGATACACAACCCCTTTCCAGAGGACACAAAAGCCCCAAACACCTTTCCTAACCCTATTCCCATCCCACATGGTAGGTGGGGGTGAGTGGAAGAGAGGGGGAATGAGGTGGTGGCAGTGATGTCCCCTGGATTGTGGATTTCACTCCCAATGTACACCCAGGTTGTTGATTAAGTGCATTGCTATTATTTGAGGAGCAGAATTGTTCAATCCTGAATTGAAACACCTGATGTGAGCTTTCTTCATTTTTATGATTATGCCAGTTCTCTCTGAGTGTCTAGGGTTGTAGGTTTCATAGGTTATACTTAGTCTTTATATGGTGCATGATTTCAGTTGGCTCTAGTATAAATGGCGTGTACATTGATTTAACTTCTTTTGGTGCCTTTCTGCATAATTTACCTCACAAAATTTCTTTAAGACTTATGTTGATTTAATAGCAGTCAGTCATCTGCATAAATTTGGTTATGTTGATTATTGGGGCTGGCCTACTTTCCACTTTATTACTAATGGAGCGAGGCGGCAAGCAAGTGAATGTGATCCCTCCCTCCATCAGCTGGTGTGTGTGAGCCTTGGTTATACAGATTCTTATATGAAAAAAATGTCTTCAATTAAAACATACGTTAGTATTCATGGGCTTTTTGCCCGGCATTACATTTTTGTGTTTTTTAAGGTAAGTAAGAGCTAGATACTGTAACATCATTGTTTGAGCTGCAGCTCCTGATTTGGGTTCTGATGATACATATGGAGTGTGGAGGATTGATGATTCGGACCATAGTTTCACAACGCAGCCTTTCCGAATCAGATATGCAAGGCAGGATATTCTTTTATGTGTCATGATCTCTTTCAACTTATCTCTTGGTAAATACGAGGTAATGCATGTGTGTGTGTGTTGGTATTGAGCAAGGGTAGGGAATGGGAGACAACTATGTTAAAAGATAGAAGGAAATGTATTGGAAACAAATGGGAATCTCCTCTATGAACAAGAAGCTAGGCAATTTTACCAATCTCTTGTCAAAATGATGTTGATATCTGCATGGCGCTGCTTCTTCTTGCCTGCATGATAGCATTGACTTACTATAAGTTTCCTTACACATTAATGTTTGACAGATGCCATGAAGTGCATTCCTCAACCTCAACTGGTTTATGAATTCACAATCAATGACCTAGGTTTCCATGGATCTATTGAAAAGTTTAGTTGCCTATATTTGTTTTACATATTTTGCATGATTGAAATATTAACACTGTGCCCGGAAACTGATAAGACCTTAAATTACCAGGGTCCTTCAACTTCTGCTGTAATTCTGAAATTTGAGCTTTTGTACGCTCCTATATTGGAGAATGGGTTAGTACACAGAACTCATTCTTTAGACATTACTTTTCTCCTCGTATATGCTTTTTAACGAGCAAATGGATTTAGATCTTTTGAAACTCATCATGTACCCAGATTAAAGATTTTAGTGCATCATCTGCAGGACTCATTTGGTATCTTTGGATGCTTGCCCTGCTGCTGTCCATGAATTTCGAATTCCTCCCCAAGCTCTTCTGGGATTACATTCATATTGCCCTGTTCATTTCGATGCTTTCCACGCGGTGCTTGTTGATTTAAGTGTACACATCAGCCTGATGAAAAGTGGTGTTTACACATCCCTAACGAAGGTATCCAGGTTTGTTGCTGAATGGAGTCAAGACCAAAACCCATAATCTAGAGTTCTGTATTTATTTTTTAATTTAAATGCTATCAACTCTTTTTGCTCGGTGATGAATGTGTAAAATAAATCTGTTATATTAACTTGATTAGTTGAATTATTTCAGTGATTCTTGCACTGGTGAAGATGTTGCTGCTGAAAACTATGACAAATCAAAACAAGTATGTGCTCCACGCCCAGTGTTTGTCTTGCATACCTGTGGAGTTCTGTAGTTGATTTGTTTCCATTGTGTTCTCCTCGCTATGCATTTGGACGTGTTCACTTCATTTTTTATTGAGAAATAGGCTCCTGATACATTTGTTCCCTCATTACTTTTTTGTAACCTGCACGTATAACTCTATGTGTGTGTCTATGTGTGCTTGTGGATTGATACATATCAGGTTTGTCTATTTTGGGCAGTTATTTTAATTAAAACTAGCTTGGTGATCTGCTCTATCCTTATCAGCATCAAGGAAAAATCTTGATAAAATATTGATCGACTGTAATATTTTTTCCCCAGAAATAGTTTAGGTGGGTGTTCCTTTTGTTAGAAAGAATTTATTGAGATCATTTTGGAAGTTTAAGTTGGGAAGCATGGTGTATGTACCATGTTTATGTGTAGAGACTGGAACTGTGTTTAGCTAGACAGTAGCAGGAACCCTGCGAAATCCGTGGGTATGAAATCTAAACAAAATGGAAAACAATTGTCAAGAAAACTGCTTATAGGGAGGTTGGGAAGAAATTATATAACTAGAAGTGGAAATTTTGTCTCACATATTTACTGTTTGCACTAGTTGAGTACTTGTGCAAATTGTTGCATAAGAGGGGTTGATCTTGTCACACCCACCCCTCCAATGGAATGAATGCTACTAGAAAGCTGGTAGAGTTCCTATGAGAACTCGTACCCGAACCTCTCTTAACCTGCATAACTTGGTATATCTAGGTGCTATAGAGATAACATGTTCATCCATAACTTAATATTCAAAGGGTTCAAAATACATTGAGTTCCCATGTTTTACGAAATGCTGAAGTCTAATCAAATACATAATTAACCTCAGTAGGCTTACGTACCCAAAAACATATGTTCTATCTCCAGGGGTCTAACCACAGCATACTAAATATGCAGGACTCCAAAAATGCTATGGAGAGACTGTTGCTACGAGTCTGAAATATTAAGGAGAATGGGTGAGACAACATTCACTGAATGGATAATAATTCTGCAGGTTTGAAATACAGTTGCAGTATAATAATAATCGCACGAACATCATCTAAATAGAAATCGACATCGCATTTCTTAAAAGAAAATCTTAAGCTCATGAGATGTTTTTCTGATTGTTCATAAATCAATTCATAGCAAACAATGGAGTTCAAAACCTTAGATCCCCAACAATGTAACCTGTGCACAGAGCAAAAACTTATCTCGGTCATATGCGTGCAGAGCCAGAACATAACATATACACGTGCACAACGTGCCCCAAAGGCAATTACACCCTATATATACCCCAAAAGCTGTATGTATACTATGTGCGGTCCCAAAGTTCTCATAATCATACATACGTACATGGCAGGTACAATACAAGGATCAGTTTTTCAAACACAGCTTTTTTTTGATAAGGAGCAAAATTTTCATTAAATATATATCTAGACTTCATGGAAGTGGACAAGCAATCCACCCCATGAAAGGTAAACAAATAGAAAAGAGAAAGAAAATACAACGTAGATAATCAATGAAGATAACGCTTAACAAATATTCATCTAACAAGAAGCCTCTATCTAAGCAAGACTGATGACAAATAGAGGTACATCCTCGAATTCCTTCACTATCGAAGCCCAAAGAGAAGCCAATAATTTCACTCTATCCCACAAAAGCTTCATGCATTCTTCCTTTAAAGAGCCTTCAATTCCTTTCCTTTCATACAACCCATAAAATTTCCATAACAACACGCTCCCACAAGATAGAGGCTCTCTTACTTTTTCCAAAGAAACCATAGGATGTAACAAGAACGTTGAGACACCCTCTTGGGAGTACCCAACTCAAACTAAACTCCTCTAGGGCTTTATACCACATTATCAAAGCTCCTGGGCATTGGATAAAGAGATGGTGTGCACTTTCACACCCACTTCTACAAATCACACACCATTGGGGCGAAAAACATGATTCTGGTCTGCACCTTTATAGTCATAAGTATTGAACTTTCCACGAGGTACAGTCCGTGCCAAAATCTGCACGTTAATAGTCATTTTTGCTTTCCAAATCATCTTATAAGGTTAAAAAAGGGAGAAGATGGATCATCAATCATAGCATGAAAATAAGATTTGCATGAAAAGACACTAGATGGAGCAATAAGCCACAATCTTTTATATCCCATCCCTTGAACAAGTACATTTGAATTGAGCAAAGATAGTAAAGAGGAAAGGTCCAAAATTTCTTTCATTCAAGGCCCCGAAAAAATTAAAATTCCACCTCTTTGAGGAGCATGTTAACGGCACATACAAGCAGTGGAAGCTCCTTGGGACTAGGACAACCTAAACAAAGGAGAAAAAGACAAAGTGGAAGAAGAGTCCCGACCCAAACATCTCCACAAAAGTGAACTTTCTCACTGTTCCTCCTCCCACCCCCCAACAACTTTATATACTCCTTAAAACCCTTTAGCCCATGCGAAATAAACTTTCAAGAACATTGAAAAGAGCCGCTAACCAACACGTTTGAGTCTCCCAGATAATATTTATTTCTGATTAGAGTGGAGGAGTCAATGGGATTTTGATCTTTTTAATAATTGTTGACATGGATAGTGTTGTTAAGAGAGCTTATATTCCTCATCGAATAATGGGGACCACCAAGTTTAGTTTATATGCTTGAGGGGCTGCTCCACTTATAGCCAATTGGTTTTGGATTGGATGCTATAACATGGTATCAGAGCCTTATCTCCTATCACATTGCAATCCGTAAAGTCGAATCCACCATTGTACTCCAAGCATATAAACTAACCTTAGTGGTACTAATTATTCGATGTGGGACATAAACTCTCTTAATACCTTTCCTCACGTGGGACTCGGGCTTGCACGTGAGGTCAACAAACAAACAAACATGCATACTGGGATTCAAATGGAGAGGAGATTTGGCCCACTAACTACCCAAGTTCCAACTCTGATACCATGAATACGTGATGTGGTGCACTTAAAAATAGAGGAATCATAGATAATTTGAGGCCATTCCTTGGGGAAGTTATAGCTGCCAATTCATGAAGGTTGATAAGCTATTTGGAGAATGTGAAGCCACTGTGATATTGTTACAAAAAAAAAAAAAAATAAAGAAACTGGCAACGAAGCTCGCGATGGTTATGTATATGCATTTTTTTTGTTCATAGGGCTTGCAAGCAAAACCTTGAACCCTGATAGGGACTATAACCGTACAAGAACCGGAAGCAAGGATCAAAATTTTCTTTCGAAATGGTCGAAATGTCCAAAACATTTCCGTTTTTAAGGAGACCAAAATGAATTCGGTGATGGAATCGAAATTCTAATATTTCGAGATATTTTGTAATATTTCAATGCATTTGCACAATTGTTTCAGAATGTTTCAAGATATTTAAAAATATTTTAATATATTTTAACCAATATTTTGGAAAATAATTTTTAATTTTTTAATTTTTTTATTATGTTTATGAAACGAATTGAAACACGTCGAAACGTTTTCGTTTCCTAGGTGACAGAAACAATATATCGAAATAAAATTTTGATTTGAAGATTTATGCTTCAGACTTTAAAGGGAACTTGTATTCCTATTGAATGATTAGGACTATTCTAGGTGAGTTTATACTTTATATGTTGCCAATTGGTTTTGGGTTGATGCTCTACACGGTATCAAAGTTGGTCAATGGGCCAAGTCTCTTACTCATTTGAATATCCCTGTATTCATGCTTGTTTGGGTGTTTGTTAGCCCCACGTTAGCCTTGTCCTGTGTGAAAGAACGTGTAAAAAAGAGCTTATATCCCACATTGAATGATTAGAACCACCAAGGTCGGCTTATATATCTAAGAGTTCTTTTTAACTCATTGCCATTGGTTTTAGGTTACATGCTCTAACATAGACGATAGGATGAACCTTAGGAAATCTTAATATATTGTTTTTGGATAGACACTCATGCAGGGAACAAGTTTCACGTGTATCCGTCGTTCTGTCGGNTGATTAGGACTATTCTAGGTGAGTTTATACTTTATATGTTGCCAATTGGTTTTGGGTTGATGCTCTACACGGTATCAAAGTTGGTCAATGGGCCAAGTCTCTTACTCATTTGAATATCCCTGTATTCATGCTTGTTTGGGTGTTTGTTAGCCCCACGTTAGCCTTGTCCTGTGTGAAAGAACGTGTAAAAAAGAGCTTATATCCCACATTGAATGATTAGAACCACCAAGGTCGGCTTATATATCTAAGAGTTCTTTTTTACTCATTGCCATTGGTTTTAGGTTACATGCTCTAACATAGACGATAGGATGAACCTTAGGAAATCTTAATATATTGTTTTTGGATAAACACTCATGCAGGGAACAAGTTTCACGTGTATCCGTCGTTCTGTCGACTTGAATTTCTAAGTTCTGTTTATTTGAATTTCTGTTTGTCTGTCTGTCGTTTTTGCATTTCTTCATTGACAGAGGTAGAAGAAAGGGAAGACTGACATTATTTTGTTTGTGACAACCGAGTTGGGAGACAACTTACAAATTGAATGGTATCGAAGATGACGAATTTATATGATATTTTATTAGAGTCTAGACATCTTACCCTGGTAATGGTAAAATAGGAAAAACAGAAACAAGCATGTGATGGCTTTGATCGAAAAAATGTAACTCATAGTAATTATTCTATGTAGGACTTGAAGGGTATCCCACTTTTATTGATATGTGGTACACCTTTGTTGGAAACATTTTCAGTAACAGTTACAGGATGTGATACATATCACCCATAAAGGGGAAAAGGAAAAAAGGAAAAGAAAGAGTTACTGGGCAAGACTGAGCTTAGTTGGAATCTATCTGGCTTGATTATTGGTTTTTGTCAAACTAATGCTGCTGCTTTCTCATTGCTGAATGTCTTTGGTGATTGAATTACTTATACAGGTGCTACCTAGATAAGTTGCAAAATTGAATTTTAAGACATGTCAAAGTGCAAGTATACCTTAATTTCACTTCTGCATAGAAAAAAAGTGATGTACCTCTAGGGTGGCTGCTTTTAGATGACACAGTCTTATGCCAAAATATGATTTACTTCTATAACATGAGCTCATTTGAGATTTTTGGACATCTGCAACTTTCACTCTTTTTTCCTCCATTTCTCTCTCTCAGTTCAAAGATTTTAGATAGCCTTTATGTTTGGAAGCCCCGTTTTGAGGCATGAATTTTATGCTTTGAATTTGGCCAAGAAGCTACTTATGGTGCATTTTATTTCTTCAATCATTTTTAGCCTTCTTGTGCTGTCATAATTAGTTTTTAAGCGTCCTAAATGTCTTTCACAAAAAGGTAGTTAATGTTTATAACTAATCATGCATTGGATCAATTATTCCTTGTGCTTTTGCTTCTCAAAATAGGTCATGCTTGTCAAAGCTCTTTTGACTGCCCGCGATGTACTTTTTGAAGAGCTACATAAACTTAGCAAGGCAATCAATGAAACAGTTGATTTGTCTGATTTTACTTCAAACTTTGATGAGTCAAAATTGTTTGATTCTTCACTGAAAGAGCGCTTTGAGACTGCAGAAGTTCCTGGGGAAGTTTCAAGCAAGCCACAAACTCCTTCTGAGGTCTTTGATTTGAGCATGCATAGTGTTTGAGGTTCTGCATATAATAACTGACACTTCTTGTAACTTTTTTTGATCCATATTGTTTTATGCCCTTTAACAGAAACCAAACGGTACCATTGACTTTAAAAGTGATGAGGTTCTGCATTCCTTATCCAAGGGTGAACTGTTCTGCTCTTGTCATTCACTTGGCAATCAAAATTTGCAGTTGTGGAACATGTTTCTAAAAGTCCACAGGTTTGTTTTCACTTTAAACTTTCTTTAAATTTGATCATTGTATGGAAAATAATTATGGCAAACTACTTTTCATTTCTTACTTGTTTTCAAATTTTCATCTAGGTAAAATTCATTGGACTAACATTTGGGGAAGACAACTGCATTTAACAGCTATATTTTCATTGTTAACCCTCTTTTTACTTTTTTTTTTTGTGGGTTCTTGAACCGAATGGTGGAAAATTCTGTTAAATTAGGACAGAAGTCTCAAAGCATGTGACAGTTATATGTGAAGCTATTAAAGGAGNTTGGGGAAGACAACTGCATTTAACAGCTATATTTTCATTGTTAACCCTCTTTTTACTCTTTTTTTTTGTGGGTTCTTGAACCGAATGGTGGAAAATTCTGTTAAATTAGGACAGAAGTCTCAAAGCATGTGAGAGTTATATGTGAAGCTATTAAAGGAGAAAAAAAAAAGTTGAACTCCGAAATCCCCCACCAACAAAAGAAAGATAAAGGGGAAAATCATGCATTGAATGTAAGCGAGCTTATTCCCTACAACATAAATTGATTTTAAGTTTTTTTTTGGGAATATTTTATTCATCAGAACTGAAGGCTTTACTACCGTCAAAGGTCTCTCTATTGAAAGGGGAATTGCCTGTGACACAACCTCTAATCATTTCGTAGCTAATTTCTAACCTGATAAGTTCTGAATCCATCTCTATTAATATGTTGAAATCAAAAGGCTCAGTTTTCGCCCAATGATTAGCCTCATTTTTGCTACTTATTATTTCAGAGACACGAGAGTTTTGGAATGACTTGTCTTATCAGTTATTATGATGCCTCAAACGGACTTGACTTTCTTTTCTGAATTGATCTACTTATGATGTGATATGAAAGATGATTAAGCATAATTCAATTATCATTTTCAAAATGTTCTCCCTACCAACATTGGGAAATCGAGGATGTGTTGTTGTTTGTTGCAACCTTCTTAGATATTTAATGATGGAGTAAACTATGTAGTATCACTTGAAAGGGTTAGAATATAGTGCTTGATGTGACAACTGACTTCAGCTTATTATTTAAATGATCTTGATTAGATGAGATTTTACCATCTAATAATTCATACCTATATGTAATCCTGAAGTATTATGCAAGTCAGTCAACTGAGATCATTACATTGAGCTGCTAACTAAGGATCCAACTGAGATCATTACATTGAGCTGCTAACTAAGGATAAAAGTTTTGTTTCGTTTTAGGTAAATCAATCAACTGAGATCATTACATTGAACTGATACTTAAGGATAAAAACTCTTTATTTTTATTGGACGAAATGACCAAATACGTTTCGGTTTTGATGTAAAGTAAATCGAATCTGTGATTAAAACTTGAAATTTTTATGTTTTAGAATGTTTCTAAATCGAAGTTCATATTTTTTCTGTTTGCATTATGTTATATTATGCTTTACTTTTCAGCTTAAGGGTATTTTTATATTTGGTATTTATATAAAGGCTAGGGTTAGGGTGTAGTTGTGTAATCTGACAAACTACTCTCTATGTAATATTTTTCTTCCTTGTCTCTTCTATTCTCTCTCCCAAACCTTTAACTTATCCTAAAACCCTAGAATTTCACGATCTTAGTATTAGAGCACCAATTGAAACTGAAGGACTTCAGACTCATCGAAACTCTTCAGAAAAGTCCGACAGATTTTCCAGTGTGTTGATGTGAGTACTTGACCTGTTGACATAAGCACCAACCTGGTCAGCTTTGATCGGAAGACGCATGGGTGCCTATAATTTCTAAGACTTGATGTGATTTTTTTGTAATTGTTTTTTGAAGATGTTAGATCTGAATTTTTGATTTTTGAAGTATTTGTAGCACTTTTTTCTTGGAGCTAAAATTTTGAATTTTTGAGTCCGTTTGTTGCTTTGTTTGCTTCTATCTTACACAAAGAGGTTAGACTAGGGCTGGGAATCGTTGCCCAATATGTTTTGTTGTCGTTGGGTTGGATTACAGATGGTTTTTCGCTCAATTTGAGAAACGACGGATCTAATAGGGCTCTTTGGCTACGTTTTTGGCATTGGTTTTTTTAACTTGTCGAAGGTTCAAAACTTGTCCTAGTTATTTTCTATGGATATTTGCTTCTGTTGTGTGATTCCAATTGTTTGGACATGTTGGGCGGTATTGAGACTTCTACTAGTACTAAAGGCGGTGGATCGAGCCGTCCAAGGACTCTTGCGAATAACCCAATTCTTCAANTCTATGGATATTTGCTTCTGTTGTGTGATTCCAATTGTTTGGACATGTTGGGCGGTACTGAGACTTCTACTAGTACTAAAGGCGGTGGATCGAGCCGTCCAAGGACTCTTGCGAATAACCCAATTCTTCAGATTAATTTGAAGAAATTGGATGGAAGTTTATTTGGCGTGGTCACGAGCTTGTTTCTTGTTAGTCCAAGCTATTTCTTTGGATGGGTATCTGATCGGAGATACCATAAAGCATATTGAGTTGGGTCCTTCCCTTAAGCAATGGACAATTGAAAATGGCCTGGTTATGTCTTGGTTACTTAATTCATTTCAACCTCATATTAGTTATGGTTTTCTATTGTTTGATACCGCTCACAAGATTTGGATTGTTGTGTCTCATACACTTCAAAGAGGCAATGATGGCAAGACATATGACCTTTGAAAGAAAGTTTGTGAGACCAATCAAAAAGACAATTCCTTTGCAGCATATTATGCTTGGTTTGACCATTTTATGGCTGAAGTTTGACTACTAGAATTTTCAGACAAACTGTGTTGGTAACGCAACAAAGTTTCAATAGTTAGTGGAGAAAGATCGTGTACTTTCTTACCGGCCTCCACATTGAGTGTGATTAGATTTGGGTTGAGGTTTTCGGTCGTAGTCCGTTTCCAACCTTGAAAGAGGAGCCTTTTCCTATGTTCAGTCGGAGGACTGTTCTGGTTCATGTTCTTGTTCAAGAGCAATTTGCTTTAGTTGTTATTCCCCAGCGTGATCTCAAATTAGGTCAATCTAAAACTATTGACTGGGATGTGCGGAAATGTGATTACTATGGAAAGACGAGACCCCAGGGATGTTTTTGTTGGAAGCTAAATAGATGTCCCACTTATGCCATGGTGGTGGCCAAGGTGGTACTATGAGGTCTCATGGTTCATCTCAGTCTAGTGACAGTACTTCTACTTCTTTTTCTCAGGATGACATGCAGTCGCTTAGACGTCTGATGGCTTGACTTGATTTTCATCTACTATAGCTTCTAACTTCTTTCAACTTTACTCATACAAGTATATCTACCACTATATTTAGTACCTCGTCCTCACACACTGCTTAGATAATAGATTAGGGAGTCACTGACCACATGACTGGTTCTTCTAGTCTTCTCTCCTCCTATTCTCCATGTTTTGGGAAGGAGTGGTTGATGGATCTTTTTCCTCAATTTCTAAAAAAGATTCAATTAATTGCTCTCTTTTCATGTCACTTGCATTTGTCCTTCATGTTCATGATTTTTTTCTACTAATTTATTGTTTGTTAGTAGTATTACACAATCCTTGACTTATTTAGTGACATTCTTCTGTATTTATTATTTCTTTTAAAAACTGTAGACGAGGAGAACGATTAACAATCGTAGAGTACATAGTGGTTTATATCTAATCTTTTGGATGTTGAAGTCTCTTCTCATTTCGCAGGCCAAGCTCTTGAAGCGAATGGTGTTTCAGCTTTTCAGCTCTTGACATAGCCGTTTAGGCTATATTTCTTTTGGCGTTCTAGAAAGTCTCTCTCATAGTTTAGTGAAATAGTGTAATAGGAATATTTTTCCCGTTATGTTTTTGAATTTTTCGAGCAGAAATGCTTTTCTTATCCTAGTAATAATAGAGAAAGCATTGCTCATTTCATGATTATTCATGCTGATATGTGGGGACATTCTCACGTGGTATCTATATCTGGTTGCCGTTAGTTTGTCAGTTTTATTGATTATCATTCTCGTCTTACTCGAGTTTACTTACTTTGCACTAAAAGTGAAGTCTTCTCTTGTTTCAAATCTTTTCATAAAATGCTGAATACTCAATTTGATGCTAAAATCAAAATTATTCGGAGTGATAACATGACCGAGTACACTAATAGGGAATTTTGTTCCTATCTCTACAAGAAAGACATTCTTTATCAAGCCAATTATGTGATGCCCCTGAACAGAATGGTGTTACTGTGTGAAAAAATCACTATTTTCTTGATGTTGCTTGTTTATTAATGTTTACTATGAATGATCCTAAATCTTTTTGGAGAGATACAGNGTTTCAGCTTTTCAGCTCTTGACATAGCCGTTTAGGCTATATTTCTTTTGGCGTTCTAGAAAGTCTCTCTCATAGTTTAGTGAAATAGTGTAATAGGAATATTTTTCCCGTTATGTTTTTGAATTTTTCGAGCAGAAATGCTTTTCTTATCCTAGTAATAATAGAGAAAGCATTGCTCATTTCATGATTATTCATGCTGATATGTGGGGACATTCTCACGTGGTATCTATATCTGGTTGCCGTTAGTTTGTCAGTTTTATTGATTATCATTCTCGTCTTACTCGAGTTTACTTACTTTGCACTAAAAGTGAAGTCTTCTCTTGTTTCAAATCTTTTCATAAAATGCTGAATACTCAATTTGATGCTAAAATCAAAATTATTCGGAGTGATAACATGACCGAGTACACTAATAGGGAATTTTGTTCCTATCTCTACAAGAAAGACATTCTTTATCAAGCCAATTATGTGATGCCCCTGAACAGAATGGTGTTATTGTGCGAAAAAATCACTATTTTCTTGATGTTGCTTGTTTATTAATGTTTACTATGAATGATTCTAAATCTTTTTGGAGAGATACAATTCTTACTGTTGTTTATCTTATTAATCGTTTACTTTGAAGTGTACTTTAGTTTATAAGTTACACATTGATGTATTCTTTGGGAATTTTTTCTATTCCTTTTTGTTTCTTCTCCTCCTTCTAAAGTTTTTGGGTATGTTTGTTTTGTACATGATTCCCGATCATCTA